TTAATTTCTTTCTATTTTTAGTAGAGACGGGGTCTCGCTCTTGCTCAGGCTGGTCTCGAACTCCTGAGCTCAAGCAATCCGCCCGCCTCGGCCTCCCAGAGTGCTAGGATTACAGGCGTGAGCCACCGCGCCCGGCCTGAGCATTTTTATAATAGCCATTTTTAAGGTCCTTGTCTGCTGATTCCATCATCTCTGTTATTCCTGTTGATTAATTTTTCTCCTGGTTACGTGTCACATTTTCCTGCTTTTTGGCATATCTAGTAATTTTTTACTGGACGCCAAACATCATGAGTGTTTCTGAGCATTTGGATTTTATTGTCTTCCTTTAAAGAGTGTTAAAGTTGGTTTTGGCTGACAGTAAGTTACTGCTTACTATCAGCTTGATCCTTTTAAAGTTTGTTTTTAAATTTTATTAGGGTAAGTATAAAATACTCTTTTACTCTAGGACTAGTTTATCCTTAGTACCAAGGCACGTCCTCTGGGGTCTCTCTACTGTTTGTTCTCAGTACTCAGCCAGGTCTCTCTGCTCCAGCCAGACAAAAGTAGAATACCTCCCAGTGATTCCTGTGCTGGTTATTCCTTTGAGGCCAGGACTCGATATCTCCATGGAACATTCTTATACAGAAGGTCTCTGACTTAATGGTAGTTGACTTAGGATGGTTCAGATTATGGTATTTTGACTTTGCGATGATATGAAAATGATATGCATTCAGTAGAAACAGTGTTTTGGGTGCCCATACAACCATTCTGTTTATCATTTTCCGTACTGTATTCAGTAAGTTATGTGAGATTATTCAACACTTCATTATAAAATAGGCTTTGTGTTAGATGGTTTTCCCCAATTGTGGGCTAACGTAAGTGTTCTGAGCATGTTTAAGAAAGGCTAGGCTAAGCTATGATGTTCAGTAGGTTAGGTATGTTAAATACATTTTGAGTCATGATATTTTAAACTTATAATGGGTTTATTGGGACATAACTCCAGTGTAAGAGGATCATCTGTATATATCTTTTTTTTTTTTTTTTTTTT